CACCCTGCAATAAGTCTTGACTGAGAGTACAAAGCCGGTTGTGTATTATAAGGAAATGCACAGTGGATTTGACTGTTCAGTCCTGCATTGAGCAACCTACAATTGTTATCCAAGTAATTTTAATTAATATAGAGAATTCATTTTAAGAGCCACACTTTCTCTACGACACCTGAAAACCCCTTGGAAAACAAAAGGATGATAAGCGTAAGTATAGGGTAAAAATAGCTGTTGCCGGTAAACCAAATCTTTCGTTTTCTGTCCATAACCCTCCCTCCGTTCTCATGCCTCGGACTTTTACACTGTGTCCAGGACTGTTAAATACAACATGCTTAAAATGCCCAGCTTCATATCTGCCAGATTTGGACCACCTTTGCCAGCGCTATGAGCAGACGATGGATGCGCCGCTCTGACATGGTAGCGAGAGTGCATTTAGTTGCCCGTCCTCTCATGTCTTTTGACAGTTGCGTCCTCTATTCTCTGTATCCACACGATCTGTGTGTTCATACAAGCCTTCCCGGACTCTTGCAATTAATGGCGCCTCACTTCCACCGCCTGATGTGCTTGAGCTTTTTTTCCTTCAGCTAAATGGACTTGTTTGAGGATTGTCTTGAGGCACTTTTGTAGGAAACGTTCTCAGACCTCCGCTAGCCAATATACATTCAACTTAAGGTTGGCCGTGGAAGATATCCCTCCGAGAAGACCTTGGAGACCTTCGCCGTCGAAGGGATTGAACTGCGATGGTTGGTTGTAGTTCTCAGCTAAGACGACAAGGCAATATTACTTCGTGCAAACGGGAACGGCAGGACAGATCCAGGAACTATTAAACATTCCACATCCTACTTGATGAAATTTACTCATGCCTTTCCAGAGACTTAAGGTGTATATTGGAGTGAATTTCAGAAGATTCCTAAGAATTTACTATATAAGACATAAATTTGCCCCAAGATGGCCGGTTGCAATTGACCTTCGGTTCTATTATTCGTCCGTTTGACTGCACTTACTGAGTATGGTGGATGAAAAAATTAGTGTTCACTTCATATGATCGTAAGCACAGATTTCGTTCTTCTAATTAAGGGCGGCAATGATGGGAGGAAGAGGGCTTCGGAGACCAACTGAACCAAATGTTGCCGGCAAATAAAGGCAATCTGGCATTAACCCATTCCCGTGGAAGCAGTCTCCTTCGCGACACAGAAATATACTCCGCAGTTCTCGGATCCTCAGTGAGAGCATCTAAGAGACTGCATGGAAGCGCGGAGTCCAGAGAGGCTGGCAGCCCTGTGTAAGGTAGTCCGACGGTCTGTGGCTCGGCCGGAATGATTTCGATAAAATGCACGAGGAAACCGAACTTTACCCGCCTCTGAACTTGCTTGTTTTCAAAGTAACATAGGAAAAATGGTCTAGAAAACATTATAGGATAAATAGCTCTGGCACCTGTGACTCACTTAAATGCTTAAACCAGTAAATGCGGTGTTGGTCACCGATTTGGCCCGATTGCAAGGCGAAATACGGTGTCTAGACTTCCACTCCGGATCGTCGGTCTACGGTCCGCAGATTTTCAGCCTCCTTGCAACCAGGACGGATAAGCAATTTCCCTGCCTTTCTATCGTATTCACAAGCGAAACCGGTACAGCGTGTGCATGTGCCCTAGTGGCAGAGCGTTTGGCTCAATGACCAGAGTCCCGATTTATGGTCCCTGGACCTCCCCTCTGTGGCCAACTGGCGACTGTGAATATCACAGAAACTGCCCTTCCTAGTCTAGTTCGTCTTGGTCATTGACATCTATCAGTTAAGTCCCTGCATTTTGACGAGTTCTCGCACTTTCCCATGGCTACCAGTCATCTGTTTTATGCAGTTTGGCGTAACTGTCGACCGCGTTTTTGGCAAACCCATTTGACAGAAAATTAGGTCTTATGGCCGATAGCCCCATCCCCTGAAGTCTACTATGGCCCCGCTTGTGTCCCCATTCCCGCTTAATCGAAACCTCGCTGAGCTGTTCGGTCAGGGCTTCAGTGTGTGCGGTTTCTGCCGATCGTCCAACTTTGCCCACCCCATTGCTTTGCTTCCAGAAAATCTTGCATGGACCTTGTGTTATCCTACCGATTGATGGATTGTTATACTTTAAAAATGCCGAGGAAGCTAGACAGCTATTCTACGCCTACAACAATCTAGAAAGTACCACCAATGCCGCTACATGTTATTTTGCCACCTTGGACTCACTAAGCCGTACCACTGGTAATGACAAGACGTATATTGCAAGTGCCGGTCACCACCCTAAAAAGACTGAAGATCGCAGATGTCAGAAGCACTGCGGAGTACCTGTCGGGTCGATTTTCTACGTTTGCCCCCTCGGCTGGGCAACGATGACGCCGACCTATACTTCACGAAAGCATTCCGGTGCAATCCGCACTACGCTGAGTCTGACACAGCCCAAACCATCACGTCCCGAGACTTGTGGCCGAGTGCCAGCTGACGAAAAAAGCCGTTTCCCCTCTGGAGAGGTCAGATAGCAGAAATTTCTCGACTTGGCCTTCATTGAAACTGTTTGAGACCCGCGACCACCTCCCGTCTAGGTCTCCTTCGTGCAGAATTACGGGCGAGGCAACGTTCGACATAAGTGCATGAGATACTGGGCACTGTCAGTCAAGGCGCCGATGCCAAACTCGAGTCGTGCTGACTCCGCCATGTGAAGATTAAAGTAGATGCTGTACCACCCAGCTTAACCGGAAAGAAATCCATACGCAGGTCACAACTGTGACTCCTGAGACGATGGTTGACCCCGTCGCTTGCAACGGTCAAACCACCGCGTGCTACATCGCACACATGAGAGACTGAATAGAACCGAAGACATTTAACCCCCCGCCGCCTGAAAACTATCCTCAGAATGCGGTATATGGGCTTAAATTAATGCCAGCACGCAGCCCTCACGCGCACACCCTAGGTCGCACGAGAAGGGCTGCCACCTGTATAACTTCTCCGTTCGCCGTCTCACGACCTCGGTAGTTTTATACTCGATGACGTCCCGTGCGGGAAGTGTGTGATGCTAGACGCAAAAGCCTTATTGACAGTCTTCTGTGCTCCCCAGACCAGCCATACCGGCTCTAGACGGAACCGAAACTCGAGGCCCCTGACCGCGGCGCCGGTACGAGACCAATCTGCCAGAAAACAGACGGGAAATGCTAGGGGGACCTACTGATGGGCTGAACCCCTCGCAGCTGTGCCATGCAGCGGCAGAATACCGACGAGACACGCGTGTACAGGCCTTTGGCTAGTACCTGTGCTGTTAGTATGGTATCCTCTTGCCTTAAAAAACCTATCTTCCTTTCGTTGGTTGGAATAATTAGACAAGAGCGTGGAGAGCACAGCCGAGATTCCTACGCCGTGTACCTTAAGTTTCTAGACACTACCAGTCAACTCGGTACCTTTAGAACTTCATTGAACCTCTTATCTTTTTGCCATGCGCGAAGCGCGGGGTAGTCGAGGGTGGAGGAACAAAACCCCCATAGGCGCCTGACCTTGCAATACCAATACATGCTGAACTGTTGACAGTCTTCAAAGTTTGGGACAACACAATCACGGGTGTGATAGTGCAGCAAGCCGGATAATTGTCTTCGAGGGGAAGATACAGCTACTTGGGGCCATGTTCCACAGTCAACTTCGTCATCAAGTTGTTCACTCACGGACAAAAGACAATTCGACGCTTAGGTGGAAGTGTGCCAACCGCACCCGACTAAGCATTTACGCATGGCAGGACGCCGCTGCGGCGGCGCCGTAATGCGGAATATTTAAATCGCGTCCTCTAAGTATAGGACAGGGAGTGCCAGCACTGGCCGTATGGGCAAGAGCCCGTTGAAGTCGAGAGGCGACGGAGCGACAAGCTGGCAGGAAGGACCAGAGCGGTCAGAGCATGCAACATGACCAACAGGTGATCTTTTATGATTCTCCAGTCGCTACATGCCGGACAAATCGATGCAACCCGGTAGGAACGGGACTTCGAAACCCAGCTAACTAATACGCCTACACATTAACTCCCTGTTGGGAAATGTAAACGCGTCGCCAGTGAAACCCGGAGAACGTGCCCGCCCCACCACGCCGGTGGTGGTATTGCGACAATTCCTCCAGAAGTCTTCCATGGTCCTAAAACCGAGAGCCAACTTTCACATTTAACAAGACCACAATTCGGTCCGAGGTCAGATGCCTGGGCGGGCGCTAAGTAAAAGAGCACCGCAAAAAGGCATGGAGACCCATCGTTCCCTTTAATGTATATTCACCGCGACCTGCAACTTCTGCGAATCAAACCGTAAGTCGTGAGATCTAGCTTGTAACATGCTTTCCCACATAGTCGCTACGAAGGGCGCCGTTAGACGTAGACACAGGAGAAGGCATCGTAACTTGGCTGCCGTCTGTCCTATCGCCGCCACACACATAAAACAACGAGTGTGAAAACGACACGTGCAAGGAACTGCTCCCAGAGCTTGAAAGTATAACTCGGCGGCTGCATTAGCGTAAAGGCACGTGTTCATAACATGAACTCCCGTGGCAGTGCTGATTAGTAATAAGCCAAAAAACTGGGTTACGAACATGTCCTGGGGAGCGTTTGTGAAGCGCCTCCTTGTCCGACATGCGTTGAAAGGAGAAAGGGGAAAAAATAACTAGGTCTGGTCCATGGCGATAAACCAGGAAAAATGATGCCACAGATGTAACCGCCAGGGGAGGTAGTCACTCTTATTATTTATGAACGCAGGCGATTTAACCCAACGACGCCTGAGACGGCTAATTGTCGATGACCATACTTAGCAACTTGGTTAGAGAACTGCGGCCTGCTTACCGACTGCCTTGACAGCCCTACATGCGTGACGATGAGATGGGTGATGTCGGACGGTCTTGAAGAATAAAGAAGCTAAACGATAGCGCTGAGTGGCCACGTTCGCGGAGCTTCTCTAGCAAACCACCCCCTGCACGAATAGAAAAAAAGGAAATTGCATCCTTTACATTAAATTTCTCTAAGCCATAACAGCAAACTTCCGAGGAGGATAAGACCTCATTTTTCGGAGCATCTTTTCTGAGTGAATGGATCGCTCCCGCTTGCTGAGTCGCCGACGGATGGCACGTGTCTTCTTAGGACGGAGGTCCTTGGGAACATATCGCTTCTTACGGTAGGCCTCACGCTGACGAAGCTTCTGTGCCTGGTGCATAACTGTGTATACGCGTGCGATGGATTTCCGGAGGACGCGTCTAAAGAACAACAGTTACTCCGTTAAATGCAATTATCATGTAAGAATTGCCAACAAGACACGGGACGACCACAAGTGAGGAACTTGCAGTTTCTCAGTGTACGAAGAGAACTATCTCAAGGATCTAACAAGGACCTACATAGAATTCACCTCGAGGAAGAGGGAATGGCAGATTAGAAAACTAAGACAAACTAGAAGGCAACAAATGCAGAGGTTCAGTGGGAACCACCTATCGAGAGACGTTTGGGCACAAAAAAATCTAGGTAGTGCAATTGTCCCATGCACACGCGGCAGAGCCAGGCAAGGTTAAACATGCTGCATTCAAAACCCTAGTATGCGCGTTTGGTCGGCTTTTAATAAATCATTCGGTCTTCGACAAGTAAATAAGGCCGGCAAAACGTACATCTTCTTGAGCTTCGAAGCCGCCCCACGCGTCACCCGAAAGAGACGCAGGTTACATAGCTCGGACTTTAGTTCACCAAGCTGCTTCTGGAGCTCGGGCTCCGGCTTTCCACGGAGTTCGGTAGCCTTTACCTTCGTCTAAAAATAAAAAAGTCAAGAAATGTAAGGCACTGAAGCGTGGGCCTTCTCAAAATAAATAAATGTTCGTGTGATTGGTGTGAATTAAGGCAGTCGAGCAAGCTACGTCGAAGCATACGTCTAGTGAACATAATTGAAGGTGTTAGCATTTACCCTGAGTTAGAGCTACTTGACTGGATACGCTAGTATCAAAAGGCGGCATGGGTATAAAATTCACGTAAACCTCCTGCGAGATATCATGAATAAAAGGATAGAAATGTTAGATGTTATCAATCGGACTTGACCCGAATAGTTGTAGGTCTCTAAACAAGACCTACTCTAACGGCTGATTACAAGAAGTACAGTGGTCCCATAAGAATGCAACGAAACCTACATTCACCATGCCGAGCAGGAGATTTCGCAAGTACCGCGCGATCCGATCGACTGATTCAAACGACCCAATTTTACACGTCCCGAAATTCCCAACCCTACGGAAAGGCTTAAAATTTGTAGTCATTTGATTACCCACGTTTTTTGGACAAAACTCGGGAGTTGCCGCCTTTCTTCGAACAGTGCCAACTGTTTTCTTAAGACCTGGCTCGGTAGCTGGGTAGTGATTATACTCCTGAAATACCTTCAACTTCAGGAGAGCTTCGGCGCTAATCGGTCTCTTGACTATTAAGAGGCCTTTTCTGTAAAAATATGCGTAGATTTTGACGATTAAACGTTTGGTTACTTTCTTGTATGTATGTGTCTATCGAACGTGCCGGATTGTCTGAAGTCGGCTTACAGACCTAGATCCTTTATGGTACCGTAGATTACAAAAGGGACTATTTTGCTATTTAAACTCTTATATAATCACACGTTTAACCCACTCACCTCTTTAAGACATCATATCCACCCACGACGTAACAGTCACCGTGAGGTCTCTGGTACGTGCTGTTAAATATCGTCGGTTCTATTCTGTAAATGCAATTGCTATTTGGAATAAACTACCCATGAGTGCGAAAACTCTGCAAAATTATCCCTTGTTGAAGAGAGCTATTACTTGATTTTTGCATTCAGAAAAGCTCCCGCAAATTTTGGGCGCTGAATCCACTGAATGACTCTACCGTAGCGATGGCGTTTGTGGTCTCTGAACACTATGGCCGGTCTCACCAGCTGTTCATCAACGCCTCTACTTTGACTATCCCCAACTTCATGAAAGGAATTGACGTCCGATAATCTCCGATGCCGTGCAACCCCCTCCCCTCCTTCTTGACGGTCGAAAATCTACCGCCAGTAGTTTTTTTTCTCCTGAACCCTTCAAACCATAAAAACCATCATAAACTATATTTTTATTCTTCAGGAGTTTTTTTTTCACTGCTGGTCGGATTTGTGTTTAATCGCTTCCCTTGGCAATGCCTGTAAACTGGCATTTAATAAATTAAATTAAATCATGTATGTGGTCCTACGGTGACGGCGAAAGCCGCATTGGCTTTCCGGCAGGAGACCCTGTTGTAGGTGTGGAGGATGCGAACAAAGTTTTCCCTATATATATTCCCGCAAAGTTTTCCCGCAACGAAATGTCTCGATGACTGTCGCACAGCTGGCGGTTTCCTTTCCGCTTGTATACATGCACGATTTTGGCGTCTTTGAAATACTATGGGACTTCACCTTGACGTCACATCTCCTGGGAGAGCGCCGTCAAATGATCCATGAGTTGGGGTCCGCCGTGCTTTTGAACCTCTGCAGGTATCGCGTCAGATTCGGGTGTTTTCCGGCTGGAGAGCTGCTGCACGTCCCTGATGGTTTCTTGGAGAGAGGGCGGGAGATCGAGATCCACGTTGGTCTTCACTTGTGGCAGACGGGCGATGGCGGCGTCGGAGGTGTTGGAGGGGCAGCGGAGGACGCCTTGGAACTGCTCGACCCATCGCTGTAGGATTTGTGTCTTCTCAGTCAGGAGGGTACTGCCGTCGGCGCTGAGTAGAGGAGCAGTGCCCTTCGTCGGCGGACCGTAGACAGCTTTGATCGCGGAGAAGTAGTTTTTCCATTCGTTGTGGTCCACGTACCCTTGGATCTCCCCAGCCTTGTGAGCCGTCCAGGCATCCTGATCCTCGCGCAGCCGCTGTTGTACAAGGCGACGACTGAGAAAGAAAGCAGCTCTGATGTCGTCGGTGGGCTGGTCTACGTAGGCTTTGTGTAGGCGATTCTTCTCGGTGAGCAGGTTGCTGATGGCGTCGTCGTTTCCGTCGAACCAGTCCTGGTGTTGGCGGGGTGCGCGACCGAGGACGACTAGGGCCGTCGACTTGACCGTGTCCCGCAGTTGACACCACCGGTTCTCCATGGAGGCGTTCTCGTCAGCGGCGGAGGCGGCGGCAACTGCAACAACTAAAAGGTTGCCTAGCCATCGACCTAGCTCATTGCTGAAATGAAGATGGTGAGCAGGCAAAAACAGAAAGGCAATATTCAGCTTACCTGGGAGTCGATTAGCTTGAGGTCTCCTGCGAGGTTGTAGGCGAATCCGCATCTTCGAGATGACGGGACGATAGTCGATCCACCCGTCAGCATCCGGAATCGTCTTTGTCACCAGCACGTCCCGCAGGTCTCGCTTCGGGA